AGGCAATACACAAATACACATAAAAAATAAAATTAAAAAAACCTTTAAAGAACTCTGACAATCTAAAATCACTTTGAAAGTATTAACCTTTTTATTATTTTTCTAACTAACATTAGAAACAAACACAAAGTTGGACACAGTGACACACCTTTAAATCTCAACAGCCAGAAGACTAAGGCAGGAAGACTGCAGTGAGTTCAAGGCCAGTCTTGGCTACAGAGTAAGTTGCTGGGTTATTTCTCAAAATAGTAACAAAAATACTATTAATAATAATGTAAACAGCTTTCAAAGGACTTGTAAAACTTAAGTATATATGCCAAGCATGCTGGCACATACCTTTAACCCCAGGACTCTGGAGACAGAGGCAGGTGGATCTCTGTGAGATTGAGGCCAGCATGGTCTACATAGCAAGTTCCAGATCAGCTGTGGTTCAAAAAAGAAAGGAAAAGAACCCTACACATTTTCATGAATAGTAAACTTTGGGGTTCTTACCATAGATGGACCTTTAATGTCTAGATTCTTTTTGTTGTAATTTATTATTGCTATGTGTATGCCCATGATGTGGGAATAGGGTACACATCCCACAACATTCATGTGAAGGTCTGAAGACAACTCTGTGTAATTAGTTCTTTCTTTCCAACTTGGGTTCTTGGGATCGAATTCAGGTAGCCAAGTTTGTGCAGCAAGTACTTTTACATGCTGAGTCATCTTACCAGTCTAACTCCTAATACTGATGGTAGGTACAATGACAAACCAGTAATCATGCTAATACAATAATACGTCACAGGAACTATGTCAGACAGAGTTTTTGCTTTTGTTATTGTTATGAATATTATTATTGTGTATGCAGGCATGCCTATACCACAGCACATGTGTGGAAGTCAAAGAACAACTTTCAAAACATAGCCTCCTGTCTCCACCTCTCTAGCCCTGGGATTACAGGTGCATGCCATTGTACTAGAGGATTGTACTAGAGGATCTTAACTCAGTCCTCAGGCACTCTACCAACTGAGTCATCTCCCCAGTCCCAGAAAGTTTTAAGTGCTATGAGAACACATAGTTCATCACTGAATTCAGGCTGGATATAGCAGGGCTCTCTTGGCTGTGATTTTGCTTTCCGTAATTTCAGATACCATGATCCCAAAAAGATTATACAGAAGCAGGGCGTGGTGGTGCACACCTGTAATCCCAGCACTTGGGAGGCAGAGGCAGGTGGATCTTTGTGAGTTCCAGACCAACCTGGTCTACAGAGTTCCAGGTCAGCTGGGGCTAGAGGGAGAGGCCCCCCCTCCAACAAAAAAAGATTACACGGACAATTCCAGAAATAATTAATTCACAAGTTTTAAACTGACCACTATTTTGAATAAGATGATGAATTCTGGGGCTGGAGAGATGGCTCAGTAGTTAAGAACATGGACTGTTCTTGCAGAAGACCCGGGTTCGAATCCCAGCACCCACATGGCAGTTAACAACTGTCCGTAACTCCAGTTCCAGAGGATCCGACAGCTTCTTCTGTCCTCCGCGAGCAGTGCACAACATGAGTGCATTTACATACATGCAGGCAATACACACATACACATAAAACAAAAATAAATAAATATTAAAAAAAAAAAAAACCAACGATGAACTCTTTCTCTGTCCTTGTCCACCCCAGGCCACTGGTCACCCCTTTGTCCAGTGTATTCATTCTGTATATATTACCCATTTATTAGTTATTTAGTAGCTGTCTGGGTTATCAGATCAACTGTCATAGTATTGCAGTACTTGTGTTCAAGCAACCCTTGCATACATAGTGGCTTAACATCACACATGAATTATATCACAAAAGTAAAACGCAGTAAGATATTTGAGAGAAATCATAGTCACACAAGTTTTAATATAATATTGTTATGTCTATTATTAGTTATGATTCTTTTACTGCACCTAATTTAGAAATTAAACTGTATCTTATGTATGCCTATGAAAAAAATATACATATAGGGCTCACATGCTGGTTGGTGTTTGTCAACTTGACACAAACTAGAGACATCTGAGAGGATGGAACCTCAATTGAGACATTACATCCATCAGACTGACCTGTAGCCATGTCTGTGAGGCATTTTCTTAATTGCTAAGTAATGTAGGAGGGCCCAGCCCTCTACAGGCAGTGTCATCCCTAGGCAGAAAAAGATAGCTAAGCAAGCCAGAGGAAGCAAGCCAGTAAGCAGTGTTCCTCTGTGGTCTCTGTTTCAGCTCCCGCCTCTAGGTTCCTGACTTGAGTTCCTATCCTGACTCCCTACAATGATGGACTGTCATTTAGAAGTGTAAGATGCAATCCTTTCCTCCCCTAAGTTGTTTTTGGTCAGTGTTTTATCACAGGAAATGAAAACCAAACTGGGACAGAAACTCTTATCAAAAGGGGGTACTGATGTGACAGAGCTGACCATGTTACTTTGGGGAGGACTGTGGAAGTGTTAGGAGCTTTGGGCTGGAAAAACCACTGAGTGCTTAGAACTTAATATCTGTTGCTATAGAGCCTCAAACAGTTATGCTATAGAAATGTGGCTGATGGAAACCTTGGCTTGTAGATATGGAAGCAAAAACTATCAAGGTTGTTCATGTGGTATTTTTTTGTGTCTTTTTGAGACAGGGTCACCCTGTAGCCCCAGCTGGCCTGGAATGCACTATGTAGACCAGGCTGGCCTTGAACTCACAGAGCTCCCCCTGCCTCTGCCTCCCTGAGTGCTGGGATTAAAGTAATGTGCCACCACGCCCGGCTTTCCACAGATTCTTAATACAAAATATCACATGAGGCCAGGCATGGTGACAGTCCCAGCACTTGGGAGGCAGAGGAAGGAGGATCTGTGTGAGTTCAAAGCCAGCCAGGTCTACATAGTGAGTTCTAGGCCAGTTGAACAGTTGGCACTACAGGGAGACCCTGTCTTAAAAAGACCAAAAAAAATTTTTAATTAGAAAAAAAAGAATCTATAGAAGTAAAACCTGTGCTTTATGGACAATCAATGCTGGTTAGCTGGAGCTAAAAAATCAGCTGTTATTAAAGAGACCAGCATCAGGAAGTACTTCCTCAGGGTCAGCCCATAGAAAATGCGGTCCAGAGGGGACCAAGGCTCCATCTCAAGCTTGCAGCTAAACTTGGCAATGAGTAAGAATCTCTCCTGTGGTACTACTGGTTTTGGTGACATGAAAGATGCAGGACTGAAGGGACCATGGAGACAAGCTAAGGCTTGGAACTGTAAGAAGCCTGGAGGCCACTGGTGAAGATACAACTTCAGTCGCAGTAGAAACCCCAGGACGGAAGGAGTCATGGATAGAGGCTGAGACTTTGCACCATGTGTCAGCATCAGAATCCTGAACAGGCCAGGAGATGCCACTAGCAAAGGTACAGCCCAGTTGCAGAGAAGCCCCTAGGATACTGGAGATGCCAGGACCATGGGACATGTGGTGTGGAACTGACCTGAGCCCATGAGACAAGCTAGCTGTGTGTGCTGTGGACAGCAGAGCCAAAAGAGTGGAGCTGCCCAAGCCCTCTGGAACCAGTAGATCGTGACTGAGTCCCAGATTTCCGACTCTGAGCTACAATGCTGGACTCTGGTTTTGCTTAAGTGTGCCCAATTATTCCCTTTTGAAATAAACTTGTTTTTTACAGGAGACCATAGTTAAGAAACTTTGGATTTTTCAGGCTGGGTATGGTGCTACATGTCTTTAATCCCAGCATTCTGGAGGCAGAGACAAGTGGTTATCTGTGAGTTCAAGGCCAGTTTGTCTACATAGCAAGTTCCAGGCCAGCCAAGGCTACATAATGAAACCTGGTCTCAAAAAACAAAAACAAACAAAAACACAGAAACTTTGGGCGTTTGTTTTATTTTGAAGACAGGGTCTCACTGAGTAGCTCCAGCTAGCCTGGAACTCACTATGTAGACCAGACTGCTGACCTCAGACTCACAGAGGTCTGCCTGCCTTTACCTATCAAGTGGTGGGATTAAAGGCATGTTCCACCACTCCCAGTGAAATGCTGAATTTTTAAAGCAAACTTGAACTTTTAAAGTGTTTGAATTTTTTGAAGACTATGGGACCTTTTTTAAAAAATTTTTTTTATTTTTATTTTTTGGTCTTTTTTAAGACAAGAGTCTCCCTGTAGCCCCAGCTGGCCTGGAACTCACTATGTACACCAGGCTGGCCTTGAACTCACAGAGATCCACCTGCCTCTGCCACCCGGAGTACTGGGACTAAAGGTATGCACCACTATGCTCGGCCTGTGATATGACTTTTAAGTTGAAACCTAGAAAGAAAGTTAACTAAAGCCAGGCATAGTGGCATTATGCCTGTAATTCCAGCACCTCAGGAAGCTGAGAAAAGACCAACCAGGGCTACATGGTGAGTTTAATGCCAGCGTAGGTGATATAGCAAGACTCCTTCTCAAAAATAAGTGACTGAAACAAATAACAAAAGAAAACCCTACAATGATACTCATTCACATCCACTAGGAATGGCTATGACCAAAAAGACAAGGAAGAGGAAGTATTGGTGAGGATGAGAAAAGCTGGACCTCCCTACACTGCTCGTAAGGATATAACTATATGATCAAGAAGTTCCATTACAAAGGCGTGCGCCACCACGCCTGGCTTGTATTTATTATTTTTATTTTATGTGTATGAGTGTATTGCCTGCATATGTGTAAGTGCATCCATGTCATGCAATGCCCATGGAGATCAGAAAGCAGCATCAGATCCCCTGGAACTGGAGTTACAGATGATTGTTAGCACCACATGGGTGCTGGGAATTGAACCCAGGTCCTACAAGATCAGTCAATGCTCTTAACCTCTGAGCCATCTCTCCAGCCCAAGATAATAACTTAATTTTTAAAACACAAGACCATATCTTATGGGCTTAAATTTCATCCTTTATATTTAACCAAACATCTAAAAATTAAGAATTTTGAACTTGCCATTACTAGTTTCCTGAAAAATTGAAACCAAGAAGTCCTAAACAATTCTACTCACCAGAATTCTGTTTAGAGCCTGATGATCCTCCATGCTCTACTTTAGCCTTCTTCTTCTTTGATGATGAGGATGACTCAGAAGATACTACACGTTTTTCTACAACAGGGGTGGAAAGAGCTCGTTTTTTGAATAGCTCTCGTTCTCTCAATAGGCTTGGATCCATAATGCTGCAAAAACCAACAACTTTAATACAAACTCAGATCACTCAAACCCGTATGCCAAGTCCATAGACCTTGACAAGTTATTTTCTAATAAAATTACCTCTTATTAGTTTGCTAGCATTTGTATTTACTTACTTGCCCCCCCCCCAAAAAAAAAGAAGTACTGGTTATCAGTGCTTATTACGTGGCCAAGAACTGGACTAGGTAGTGGTAAGATAAGGAAAACAGAAGCAAAGAACTGTTCTTCAAGGCTTTACAGCTATGTTGCCCAGTAACTATGACCTACAGGTGCCCAGTACATCTGAAATGAGCCAGCTAGAATTCAGGTAAGTGTAAAATATCCATCAGATTTCAGGGCTGGGAATGGAGCTCTACTGATATAGTTTATCTATTATACACAAGGCCCCAAGTTAAATTCTCAGCACTTGAGGGTAATGGCAAATGCCTACAACCCCAGCACTCAGCAGATAGCAAGATAATCAGAAGTTTAAAGTCATCCTCAACAACACAATTCAAGGCCAGTCTAGGCTACATGAGAAATTGTCTCTAAAACAAAGACATGCATTTGGGAGGCAGAGACAGGCAGATCTCTGTGAGTTCAAGGCTGGCCTGATCTTTCACAGCAATTCCACGCGTGTCAGAGTAACACAGTGAGACCCTGTTTCAAAAGAATAAACTTATTTTATTCTTTATTTTATTATTTTTATTCTTTATTTTATTCATTATTAAATGAATAAATATATGTGCTATAGATAGATGCATACACATGTATGATTTCAAAGACTTGGCACAAAGAAATACTGTACAAAGGAGATGATCTATATTAACTGCATGTGTAAAGTGTTTTCAGATTTTTTCATTTTGTGTATGTGTGCATCTGCATGTGAAAAGCAAAAAAAAAAAATCAGTGAAATCAATCAATTTCAGTATCTGATTGCTGTATTTAAAAGAATGCCATTTATGGCGCTGGAGAGATGGCTCAGCGGTTAAGAACACCGGCTGTTCTTGCAGAAGACCCAAGTTCAAATCCCAGCAATCACATGGCAGCCAACAATTGTCTACACTAAGCACTTCAAAAAAATAGCACAATGGAGCTAGAGAGCTGGCTCAGTGGTTAAAAACACTGGCTGCTCTTATGGAGGACTCCAGTTCAGTTCCCAGCACCCATGTGGGAGTTAACAACCATCCATAAATCCAGTTCCAGTGGATGCATCACCTCTTCTGGTCTCTGGGCATTGAACACACAGATGCGCTTCCATACACGCAGGTGAAACACACACAAAATAAATAGTAAGATGTGCCCGACCTGGTGGCACATGCGTTTAATCCCCAAACACTGGAGACAGAAGGAGACAGATCTCTGTGGGTTTGAGGACAGCCAGACTACACTGCAAGTTCAGGCCAATCAGGCTACACAATGAGATCCTGTCTCAAAAAAAGGAAAAAAAGCAACGTGAACTTTAGGTAAGGAGTGAAGAGCCCTGATCCAAAATGAAACACCTGTTTTCTCTGCATTTCAATTTCTAACAGCTAGGCAATCTATAGGTCTGCTCTAAATTCAGTTTTGTCCTATGTAAAACAAGGGATCTATGAATCTCGTACACATTTAGGTCAACTAAAAATGAGACTATATTTATGTAAGTTCTTTTTCATTAATAAAGCCACAGGGCATGGTGGCACATGCCTTTATCCCAACTCTCAGGAGGCATGCACAGGAGGGGTCTCTGTGAGATGGAGGCCAGTGTGATCTACATAGGCCTATATAGGTCCAGGCCAGCTGGGGTTGGAGACTTGGCCTCAAAAAAACAAAACAAGAAGTCATACAAATGTTATTTCACTGTTATTATTTTGGTTGGATTTTATAAGAAGTAACATTAATTATTAATTCCTAAGAAAGGTAGGAGACAGTCTTGAGAAGGGAATATGTGAAAACAAGAAAAAAATAATTCACACTTGAGAAAGTGGAGGAAACAGATTGTAAAGTCCTAAAACACGAAACGTTGTCCACTTCACTTCATAAAGACTAATGAATAATCTGGCCTCTAAATAATGCGACTTCAAGACAGATTAAAGTCTACAGTTTACAAAAACTTAAACACGGTTTATGATGGTCCACAACTCTGAAAAAAACAAGGGTTAGTGCTATCGCTATTTTAACAAGCGACATCTGAATTGAAGGGGTCACGCAGCTGGAAGGTCTCCACAACAAAGGCGACCTGACGCACCCAGGGCACTGCAGGCACCCGGGGCAAGCAGCTCAGCCCTGCCTTCAGTCCCGTGCTCAACTAACTTCTCCTTTTGCAAAGACGACTGCTCTTCTGTTCAGAATTCCGCATCTTAGTCTAAACTGGCCTGGGTGGTAGAGCATCTATATCCCATATCCACATTTCACATTAATTTTAAAAATAAACGAACAGAACCCCAACTCAGAGCTGGCACGTTTCAGGGTGGCTGGACACCGAGAGGCTGAAGTTCCACTTCAGGTTCCACTGCCCGCCTGGCCTCTGCCCACCGCGATCCTTCGGTCCTCTGCTCCCCGCGGCCGGCCCAGCCTCCCAGGAGCTGGGCGTGTACGAGGGGACTAGAGAACGGCGCTCCGCTACTGATAGAAAACGTACTGCAAAGTTAATCCTTATAAAGAGCGCCAGGGACGCTAGACCGCGAGCCGGCCCCGAAACCACAGCCCGCGGCGGCCGGGCGCCCCAAATCCATACCGCAGGACGCTCTCCAGATAACGTAAACTTGGGGGCCCGGAGGGGGCGCCAGAGCTCTCCGACCGCGAATTTCCCGCTTTCCAACCCAAAACTTGGCCGTGGGAACCTTCGGCCCTGAAGACAAAGCTGGCTGGGGGCGGCGTGGAGAACGGCTGCGCGGCGGAGTGGCGGCCACGCACGCCCCGTTTGGACAGGCGGCGACACCGCTCGGCCCGCGGAGCCCTAGGCCGCGCGGCGCCTCCCTCGCCTCCGCCCCTGCCTCAGCTACCGGGAAGACCGCGGCCCCCGGCCTCCGCTTCGGCCCCGCTTCCCGCCCTCGGCAGCGACCCCGCCGCCCACGCGCGCCCAGCGCTGACCTGCCGCTCGGGGTCCAGCCACTGGCCGCGGAGCCTGTGGCGGCGAATCTGCCCCCGGCTACGCCCGCCACTTCCTGGTCCGGCAGCAGGACACTCGGTCCCGGCAGCCACCGCGGCACCCCCGCGCGAAAAACGCGCATGCGTCATGGCGTGCCCGGCCGGAGGAACCGCGGAGGGAGGGGCCTCCTCCGGCGTCCTGAATCTCCATGACGACAGGACTGCGTGCTGAGGCCCCCTCTGGTCTCTGGAGAGCAAAGCTAGTAAAGATGGAAGACATCTTTCTCCGCAGAAAGTCAAAGCTTACGACTGGACAAAGCGAGATCTGGAGTAGACTCAACCCAAATGGCGGCATTATCAATATTTTCTTTGTGATTTGAGGGTCTTTTTAAAGAGAGGGTCTCAGTATGTAGCCTTGGCTGGCCTGGAGCTTGCTGTGTAGACCAAGCTGTCCTCGACATCACTGAGACCCACCTACCTCTGCTTCCCATTAAAGGCATGCTCCACCATGCCAGGCTCTTTGTGATTTATGTTTGTTTGTTTTGAGGCAAGACCTCATTGTGTAGCCCTGGCTGCCTGGAACTTGCGTCCGGAGTGCTGAGATTATAGGTGTGTGCCTCCACACTCGGCTTTGTGATTTTACATCCAATATCATGCACCTGTAACCTAAACTTCAGCCAATATTAGTCCACCCTTGTTTTACAAGTGAATAGCCTAGCTAGCCAAGGCAAACCCAAACGGGGTTCTGAACTTTAAACATGGGCTCCTGGGGCTGGAGAAATGACTCAGAGGTTAAGTGCGATGGTTGCTCTTGCAGAAGACCAGGGTTCAGTTTCCAGCATCAACATAGCAGCTAAAAATCATCTGTAACTCCAGTTCCAGGGGATCCAACACCCTCTTCTGGCCTCCGGGGGCACTGCATGACATGGATGCAACATACATATGGGCAATGCACTCATACACGTAAAAATAATAAAATTAAAGATGGGCCCTTTTCCCACCTGTAACTATATTAGACAAGGATTTTAGATTCTGAAAACATAAAATGCAGGGGGGAAAAATTAAAAATATTATTGGCTCATCCTGTACCCACTCATACTTCCCTTGTTCTTACAGCCTAATGCAGCAATATAGTCAGTACTCAAATGTTCTATAGCTGTGGTTCATTAGTACAAGTTACCCAAAGAACCTGGGTCTCTGTTCTGTCCTCCCGAAACAGCCACACTAGTGATGCAGGAGCTAGCTCTCTGTAGGTAGTAAGAGAAAGGCCCATGGTGAAAACTGTGAGTTGTTCACATTATGTTAGGAGGGAAGGGAGCAGGGCTGGAGAAATGTTTCAGCAGTTAAAAATAGCTACTCTTTCAAAAGAGGCTAACAACCATCCCTAATTCTGCCAGTTCCAGGGGATCCTACTCCCTCTTCTGGACATTGCCCGACACAGGTACACTATATACATGTAGACAAAATACATTTACATAAAAATAAAATGTTTAAAAAAAACAGGCTTTTGGGTTAAAAAGAATGTTAGGGTTAGAACAGGCCAGAAACACTAGGAATGAGTTGGGGTATGAAATAGCCAAGGGGGCCTGATACTAGAAAGGCAGAGGCTGTAAGAAGCAAGGCCACAACTTCCGGCCCACCAGCTAGCTTCCATGAGACCACTTGGGAAATGTATGCTGGACACTATTGCTCTTTTACATATTCTTGCTTCTAACAGAAGGAAGATTGTAAATAAAGATAGCTTCTAAGAAAGCCTCCACCTATGTGTGGAAAGAGACCCCAGACCATCTTGTAGACAAGGATTTAACTGAGAACAACTTGCCCACTTCCTGGTTGCTGTGAGAACAAAGAGCTTAACAGGACTTGGGACACCAGAAAAGACTCAATACAGCAATGAGACTAATATCTATTACCCAATCAAGGTTAATAACTAAGATGGAACCAGAAATGGAGAGGGCCTTCAACCACTCAGTGGGTGGACAGTACATGAACAACCCATGATCAACTACATGACTGGGTATGCACAGAGTGTTGGGGCCCTCCATTGGCTTCACCTATGACAGCCCAGAATGCTAACCAGTCTCATAGCAATTACCTCAGCCTGTCCTATAAAGGCCCCAGAAGATGAAGGTCAATGGCTTTTTCCTCTATTGGGAGCCCCTCCCAACTCTCTGGAGTTTCTCTCGCTTGTCCTTAATTTCTCACTTTTCCCTAATATCTCTTAATAAATTTGCTTCTGCTTTGCTTATATATGTCTGTATCCTTAATCCTCACTGGGGTGACACAGTTCAGGAGCCACTGTCTCTAGTCTTTGGTGATTGTATCAGCACCCTAGTTCCTTGGATCAAGCACACCTGGTCTGAAAGGTCTCATCACACTAAAAAATAAACAAACAAAACACCTACATCACTAGCACTATCACAATGAGTTACTTTCATTGGACTGTAGTTAAGGTTAAATAAGATAATGCCTGAAATTGTATTCAAAATGTGGAAGAACTGGGTGTGGTGGTGCACGCCTTTAATCCCAGCACTAGGGAGGCAGAGGCAGGCGGATCTCTGTGAGTTCAAGGCCAGCCTGGTCTACATAGTGAGTTCCACACCAGCTGGGGCTACAGGGAGACCCTGTCTTAAAGACCAAAAAAAAAAAGGCAAAACAAAATCAAAATGTGGAAGAAATGTCAAAAAGGTTTTGAGTGTCCTCTTAGTTTCATTCTAGGAGGTTTGTAATATGCCCATATGGTGGTCACCTACTCCCTCAGGAAATGTAACTTCAATAACCATTGATAGAGTCCAGAACTCTTTTTTTTTTTTTTTTGGTCTTTTTGAGACGGTCTCCCTGCAGCCCCAGCTGTCCTAGAACTCACTATGTAGACCAGGCTGGCCTTGAACTCACAGAGATCAGCCTGCCTCTGCCTCCTGAGTGCTGGGATTAAAGGCATGGTCCAGAACTTTTACAACCTGATAAACTCAGAAATTAACTGGTAGGAAAGTGAGAAAATGTAATCTGGAGCAGGGGCTCAGATCCAGTATGATAAAAGCAATCCCAAATTGCATCAACCTAGGAAACAGGTATTTGGTACCAATTTAGAAGTCTCATTTGAACACTCCTTTGCTTATCGATTGTGTAAACTTTAGTTTCTCATATCCTTATGAAATCAGTTCTGTCATCCTTCTTGGCACTTTATCAATGAGTGAGATTTCTGTGTTAATCACCATCTGCTGCATAAGGAAACTTCTCTCACAAAGATGCATTAATCTATGGGCATATCAATAAATCATTAGGAGTCAGTTTAATATGATAGCTATTTAGTAGAAAACTGGTATTGGAATCTCCCCCTATGCCCTGTGACCTGTCTAGCCTCGGGTTCCTAAGCCTGATATCAATATCAGGTATGAGCTCCATCCTATGAAGCAGGCCTTAAGTCCAATTTAGAGAGTGATTGGTTACTCCCACAATATTTGTGATACTATTGCATCAGTGGGCATATCTTGCCAAGCCTGTTGTTATAGTTCACAGAATTCACAGCTGGGTAATGTCATTGATTATTTTTTCCTTCTGGTAGCATGTATAGAACCTTCCAGCACTGTGAAAGGTAGGACTTGAAACCTTTTGTAGCAAGTCACTTGAGATTTGGCAGTTACACACCTAAATACAAAGATTAGGGCACAATTAGACAAGAAACAAGACATATAGCTTTTAGCTGGCGCCAGCCAGAGGCTGTTTGTTAAGCAGAATGCTTGAACTTTTATTCAGGGTTACCAGTGCCTATCTGGTAATTTATTGGCCACAATGTTTTCTTTCTTAGGACAGGAAGCATAGTAAACTTTTAGCTTTTAGCCCAGGAGTAAACCTTTAACCTGGCCTATTCTTTAAGCTAATGAGGGCAGACATTTGTTCAGAACAAGGAGGTGGACTAAGGGCTGTTGACCAAGATGCTTTCCCTCAGAGCAAGGAGCTTAAACTTTTGAGCCTGCCACTTTTCTCCTGCTAGTCCTGCAGTATTCAGCAAGACAGGGATCTGAGGACGCTGTATCCAGCGCCCCTCCTGTCAGCAGAGATTGTAGCCTGATCTTAAAGTTTCAGATCTATTGCACCCTAAAGCATGCCATTGTGGTTTCCTAGAGGAAACCATACTTACAAATGAGGTAAAAAATAAATGAGGGGCTGGAGAGATGGTTCAGCAGTTAAGAGCACTGGCTGCTCTTGCAGAGGACCTGGGTTCTATTCCCAGCACCCTCGTGGCAGCTAACAACCATCTGTAAGCCCAGTTTCAGGGGAACCTGAAACCCTCCTCTGACCTCCACAGGCATTGCACAACATGGATACACTTACATACATGCAGGCAATACACTCATACATACACATAAAGTAAAAATGATAAAATATTTTTAAAAAATAAATGAAAGTGCCGGGCATGGTAGCGCATGCCTGTAGTCCCAGCACTTGGGAGGGAGAGGCAGGCGGATCTCTGTGAGTTCAAGGCCAGCCTGGTCTACATAGTGAGTTCTAGGACAGTTGGGGCTACAGAGAGACCTTGCTTCAAAAAGGAAAAAAAAAAAAAAAAAAAAAGAAAGCTATCCGATGGTAATGTTGACTACATTGATAGAATATGTGAATTGCAGAATAGCCACAAGCCTCATTAGAGAAAGCCATAAATCCCCTAAAGTGTCTAACTGGCTCTAAATTGGCAGCCTAGCCTTGCTCAAGCCTGGTCTTGCTCAAGCCTTATCAACTGGTCACTCCCTGGACTGAGAAAAAGACTGTGCAGCCCACCTGTCTCCTTTAGTGCTGTAGATAACTCACCCGCCTGTCTGAGAAAAGAGACCCTCAAGGGCACCAAACCCAGGCACTAATTCAACTCCTGACAAAGTGCAGCTGTGTCTCACAACTTTCTTATGAAAACCCCCAGTTTCTTTGTCTAGCTGTAGAAGCTTGGTTTCCGAGGTCAGCCTCTACCTCTCACTG